ATATATAAATAAATACATATACATATAAATAAATAAATATATACATACATATATATACATGCCTGCGTATATAAATTTTAATAGCCTGTAACGGTTAGCATTTTCAAATGCAATCGACTTTTGAGGCAGTTATCTACGCGACAACTATACATCTACCGTAACGATGGAATAATGCCAAAGTTTTGAGTTGTATTCTAATGTGTTGGTCATATTCAGCAGCAATATGTCGTAGACGATGTTGTCGTTAATATGCATTCGTTGCATTGCCACAACAGGTCTGTGTTGTTGGTTTTTTTTTTCTTTCTAGTATTTTTCTCCTCAGTTATGCTGTTGTCTGATTTTAATTCTAACAAAACAAGTTGTAACTTTTTCCTGATTTACTTAGAACTGTTTCTTCCGACAATATTTATCTACTGTAATACTTGCCTTTATTTTATTATTACTATGTTTTGTTTTTATTATTACTATGTTTTGTTTTTATCATTAATTTTTTTCTTGTACATTTCCTTTTTGATCGTGCTTTTTTTTTCTCAACATTAGTTGATTACTTTTTTTTTTGGCTTAAGTAGTCTGATGTATACCGCCGTTAGTGATTGTAGGAACTGCTGTACTTGGCATCTGTTACGTTGTTTTTTGTATTTAACGCGAAAGTTGTTTATTTGTAAGGATTCATAACGACGGACTGAATGAAACATTTATTTATTCATTTTAATTCTCACTTTGCTTCAGTAGGGGGAAATTTGCAATTTTTTGAACTTGAGGTGTTAAGACATGAAACAGAGTGTTCTTCAAAGCATTACTTCAGATTCTCCTCTTTTTTGTACTTATTTCATTCCTGTATGTTTTCATCATATGCTTTCTTTTTTGCCTTATTTTTATTCATATGTATATGAATTCATATGTTTTGATAAAAAATATATGCTTCTTCAAAACAAAAAATTTATTTGTTATTTGACCATATGGGTAAATTTTTTTTCAAAAGTTTTTTTGAGGAGACGTTTTTCTGCATTATACTTTTTACAAGAGAGCTGCATATCGGTTGCCGTCATATAGTTTAGGGCTTTTTCTTCAGTACAAAGTCCAAGTTTTTCACAAGTTAATAGACATATAGTCATTTTTCGATGCGTCCTATTTTTGTTCTTTGAGCAGGTCAAGCTTATTCTCATTGAAAGCGTCGATGCCCTGGTTTGCTTCATAACTCTTTTGGTATTTTAGCATTTTCAAGATTTCACTTGTAGGCAGCCCCTGGAATGCAAGCGACTTCAGGAATGCCACCCACCTTTGGGATCCCTCCTGCAGCAGGAATGAATCCAACTCCCGGAGTTCCTCCAGCACCTGGAATGCATTCATTCTCTACAATGCGCCCAGCTTCCGGTACACCAACTCACGGAATGCCTACAGCAGCAACAATGCCACTAACATCATCTGTGGGACCAACTGCTGGAATGCCACCTACTCTGGGTATGCCGACAGTCTCAACAGCTCCGATTAATTCCGGGATTGCGCCTACCTCTGGGATGCCCCCAAATTCAGGAATAGTTTCTGTACCTGGAATGCCGCCTGCTGCAGGAATGCCACCAGCTTCAGCGATGACTTCTGCTTCTGGCATGCCACCAGCTTCAGCAATGACTTCTGCTGCTGGTATGCCACCACCTTCCTGGATGCCTCCTGTTTCTGCTATGGTACCAGCCTCTAAAATGCCACCTTCTGGAATTGCACCGACCTCTACAGTACCGCCTACTCCTGGGATGCCAGTTAATGCGGGTGCCGTACCTGCTCAGGGATTGCCACAGACGACAGGCGTTATTGCGGCTTCTGGGCCTCATGTTCAGGGAGGCTATCCAGGTCTTGGGATGCCTTTGCCACCTGGATTG